GGTAGCACGGAAATATTTCCTCAAAGTTCAATACACGCTGAAGGCTGTGTATTCTCTCGTTCGTCAGTATAGGATCACCTTATTGTCGACTGTATCATAAAGAAAGTCCAGTCCTTGTGTTTAGGATTGTCTCCTAAACTTTCTACCAGCTTTGTTGTATAGCCGTTACTTTTTCGGGGCATATTTTGTCCCTTGCTAGCCATGGCCGCCACACTCACATGCAATATTCTAAATGAGGCCGAACAGAGGTGCCGTAAATTCTCCCAAAATTGTCCACGTAAAAGGTTATAAACACCCTTTTGATCGCATACTGTACTCCCATGACAGTATTGCGGTCTTGGCGCACTGAGGTGATGCTTTTTGTTGCTTCGTAACCAAACACTGAGGTTCTTCTTTAAACGTTATGCGGGAAATGCAAAGTTTTCAGGTCATACGCCCTCAGGTTGTAATGGTAATGACATTTGTTTGGGGGAAAATGAAGGACGGCTCACTTATGCGCATTGAAATAGAGGATTCACTTCTCGGACCCCGTTTGCACTCAGAGCAGATTATTTGGGATGACTTTTGGTCATTCGGTTTCTTAATGGCCTGCCAGAGTCTGACGTCGTCAGCAAACATTATTTTTACCATAATCAAGTTCCTGAAGACTGGCATTAACATAAAGGGCGAAGAGTGGAGTCCGAGGAATAATCCTTAAAGCGCACCACTACTCACGTTCACCCAGTCTGCATATCATTTCCGATGCGGATGCGCTGATCTTGACAAAGCAGAAATGTCCTTGTCCAGTTCGGAAGATCTAAGTAAACGTCGCTGGTATTCAGTTCATATAAAGTGCTAGTGTGAGACAATGTCGGGCGCTTTTCTGAAATTGATGTACTTGCCATCGATCTCAAGGTCTTTTTCCAAAGACCTGGTCCAGACCTCCAGACAAGTTAGCAGGTTTGAAAGGTAGGAACGTCCCCCCTCCCAGCAACTATGCTGAAAATTCTGTAAGATGCTACTTTATTCACAAAATTGCCGTACAACACTCTTAACTAAAACTTCCATCGTCTTCCATGAGAGGCTAATAAAGCTTATATGCCCGAAGCTGTTTGCGGCCATCGTGCTTCCTCCATGATGTACGGAAACGAGGTGGGCTGTCTTAAACTATGAGGGCAGTGTTCCTGTTTTCACCGACAGCTGGAAATGACTTATAAGCACCAGTTGTTATGGCCCACTGTCACATAGCCCACTTGTTGCTGCAGCATATGTCTGTCGATCCGATATTTAAATGTCTTAACAGCTTGACACATGCAATCGCTTTGGGCAGCTTATTATACGGTTCAACGAAACGGCTGAAAAAATACTTTCTCACATCTAGCATTTCTTGGGACACGCGTAGTTTGGAGGGATGTCCCCGGCATTGAAAACGTAGCCACCCTGAGTGTGACAGCACGCGGAGTCAGTCGCAGAAAGTAGCAGGGACGCGTGTAACTAGCGCAAGGTGCAGTTGTGCGAGGCAGCTGTAACTAATAGACTGTCTCACGAACTGCGATTGCAATAAACGAGGTCAGCAGCTGCTGCGGTCGAACAGGACTCAGTGGAATGTCTAATAGTCAGCACTTTAAGGCAGTATGCTGTAAAGCTCCACGGGAGCTTGTTACTTCAAGCCGCCGAAGACTGCGCTGGCTAAATTCTGCATTCATTTCTCCAAGTAGTTTCAAAAGAAGTAGGCCAAACGACGATATTTAGTTATTTCAAGGAACTGTCTTGGAGAGGCGAGTAGTGAGTCAGCTTCGTCGTTCTGAAGACTACCAAGACACGACAAGCTGACTCCTTTAGGCATGCTTATCAGATGACCACGTTGAAACAGGGCTAATAGGATTACTACCTCGTCCGAAAAGGGATCGAAGCCAATGGCGCGGACAGCTATTCGCAGAAAGGAGCTACAAGTCATCAGGTCAAGGTTGGCATCCACAATTGCCGCCATGTGTTTAATCTTCAGCGCAGTGCTTTGCCCGCTGAAGGTACGCACTAGAGCAAACCAACTTGGATTAATTAAGTGAGAAAACTTGCAGACCTCGAAAATCCACAGATGTTTTTGGCAGATTTTGAATAAGTTGTATTGACACAACTGTGAAAAACTGGGGCGTCTCAGTGGAAATCGAACCCACGAAGTAAGGGTAAGGCTTTAGTACAACCAAAGCTCTAATTATTTGAGCTACGAGGCCCCGCCGGATGACGCGAGCTTAATCACATTTGGATAATTTTACCCGCCTAACCTACTGCAACGTCTGGAATCCACCAAATCTGATACAGTAAGGTGACTACTCAAGCAGGATCTCCTTAGCAATTCACCTAGAATTCACAAGATGACTACCAGGCCCACGTAATTCATAGATGTTTTTTCAGATTTTGAATTATTCGTATGGACCCCACTGTGAAAAACTCAGCGCCGCGGGTAACTTGACCCAAATGGGATTAAACTCGCGTCGTTCGGCGGGGCCTCGTGGCTCAAGTGGATAGAGCGTTGGCTGTACTAAAGCCTTCCCCTTACTGTGTGGGTTCGAATCCCACCGAGGCGCCGAGTTTTCCACTGTTGGACCAATACGAACCTTGAAATTGGCGTGATGGTGTCTAATGATTAATGAACCCCAAACACCACACGGAGGTGAAATCAGGACAAGCACTGACGCAAGTCGATGTTGGTTGTTGCATGTGGCTACGCGAACTTAACCACCAGTACAGAGATGTGAAGATAAGCATGGAAAAGTAACGACAAAGCCGTTAAATGTACATAGACCAACGAACAAGAATGAAGCGTTCTAGTATTTCTTGACTCCAGTAAATGCAGGAAATGCTGCGGAGTTTTAACGTGAGCCACCAACTACAACGTGAATATGTCTCCCAAAGAACAAAGTATTCAGGTGAAACTGAGTCTGCGTCCATTTGGCACTGCAATTTCGTCGCATATTTGCTTGTTCTTTCGTTTTGTATGCGACAAACAGGAAACTTAAAGACGTAAATCTTTTTCCTAAAAATACGTTGAACTGAATTAGAAAAATAAGCTAACACTATTGACATTTGGCCGAGGAACATCATTTGTCAGTTCACTCAATGGCACCTGACGGAAATTCTTGGATAAAAGTTTGACGTGAAAATGTATTCGCAATTTTATAGTTTTTCAGCGAGAGAAAAAAGGGCCGCTTCATACTAATCGCTTGTCTGAAAAAAAACACAGTTGGGCTGGCTTAGCTCTCACCGGAAGCCAATTAAAGGTCACAAACTGAGTTGAACAACAGTTACAGCCCAAACACAAGAGGTTCTGTTAAAAAGTAATACGTAATCTAACAAATCACACCGCTCGACAGTTCGCAATACTAAATTCTCAAAATGTGCATGTCAGGAAAAGACGTCTTTGGCATCACCGTGATGGTGAAACCGCCTTCTAACAAGCAGGCATTGGGGGAAAAAATTCTTCCTAAGATGTGGATGTGAGGACATGCGCATATGCAAGTCGTATCATGATTTTGCAAAGTGCTCTAACGGGATTTACAGGACATTAATAAACCACGAGCAAACTGGCGTCTTCGAGGGCAGTGAATTGCCCTCCCTGAAAATGTTGCGGTGTCACCATCGATACAAATTTTTAAAAAGAACCTCGACACATTTATGTTCCCAAATTAACAAGAGCGATGAAAGATCGAGCACATTCCCTTTGACTCACTTCCATTTTGTCATACCATTATGGGCTGATTTGAATTATTTCAGCCAAATAATTTCTATGTATACCGCGCGTTATTTTATGTTAAAAATAGGGCACTCAAAAACGTACGCCTATTTCCGTCAATAAACTGAATGAACTTCTGATAGGTGCACGAGATGAGATATTTTCGTCTCAGTCTTGTGCTTTTTTCGCAGATAGGATAGCGAACTTAGGTTAAACGTCCCATTTTCCATGTGATGCTTTGTACGGAACGAAGGAGGGTAGCATATCCTCATGAATTGATTATCATGTGTAGGAAATGATGATAATGTCAGCTATATTCTGGTGCCTCTGTGAATGAGGATGTGTTTGCAAATGACCAAGAGTGCCACACGTGGGTACGGGGACGAGTCAGACAGTTCACTTAATTTAAGGAGTACGAGATCTGTGAATGTCCTTAGTTTGACTGTCATGCGAACTGGAGGAACGTAAGTCCATCCACATATAAACGACGAAAAAAGGGTTCTTAGTGAAACGGGTGCACCAGGGCGGAAGGAGAACCTGGGCTTAGACGATGCGGAATAACTTGTATACCGTTGTTACATGGCGTTCCATGTTTTAAGGAAGAACTCCTTATATCAATTCATATTCTATTTTCTTCCACTTCTGTAGAGGTCATTGACAGGTACAGGTCCAAATAATTGGCCCTCGATATCGTTCTGACGTGCCTTTTGAATCTTTTGCGCAATTAGTGAAGTTGTTACTTGCACCTTTATTGATTCCTCGTTTTTTCGTAAAATAAAATTTTGTCGCCTTTTACCGAACATTATCCTGCCTATTAGATTGTTTTATGTATTCATCTCCCTTTTTCACAGTCCAATAATTCACATGCCGTTCTGCCCGTTATCCCGAATTTAGTCACCAGCTATATGCATTTTAGAGCTACATTTTGGATTTATAAGGCATTTATTTATGTTAATTATTTAATAGCAACACCTGTGCACACTCTTGATGTACGCTATCCCGTTCTTACGAAGTGTACTGCCTCCAACATGAGCTTATAAAATCAAAAACATCCGCAGTCATCGTCTAGAGCATTTATTCTCCTTCATATGAACTGCACTATATTCTATATTCTAAACTTTAAGTTGTATCGAGGTTTGAATCCCCAAAGCATTCTTACAGAGCGCAAATACATTCAGGAGACTTACTTTATCATTTTTCTTCGCCGGGCTGAGCTCTGTGAAATTTGGATCAAAGTGTCTGCAAGGTTGTTGATGGAGGCGTCCGGCGGCTGAACGAATACGAAGAGAATATGCAAGACGAAGTAAAATTGTCAACACTTCTTCAGCTCTCTCTGGGAAATCCGGAGGTAATGTTAGGTCGATTTTATGTAGTTACTTCTTTTTCGACTACCGTTTATTTTCCTCGTTAATAATATGTGCATGTGTTTTAGCTTTCCCCAGAGACCATAGTCTACCGTTTTATTGCTATTAAATCGGCTTCAGCCCATGGAACTGTGACTTTTAAGGGAAAGCAAAACTCCATTTTAAACTTCTTAATTAGGTTTCAATAAATATGTAGATTATACAACTACAGCATTATAAATACGATTTTACAATCAAGTTTATTGACAGGGATTCACAGACATAATATCAAAATAACCAACAGTTTTCTAAAATTTCCAACCGTATATTAATTGATGGCTGTCTTTTAAACTCGACACAGCGGATTAGGTTAAGTGCACTTTCCTGCCAGACTTAACTCCTTTTACTTTGTCTCATAAAAAGCTGTACACGTTCAGATTCTTATGATAAAGTGGCACTAATCCCGCATGAGTTTTTTCAGTACACAGTGTTCTTTAGGGGTGATCCCCAGTTAGTCGACTAGTAGGGGATCAGGTGGTTCAGAAGGTCAATTGACCTCAATTCAATTAATTGATTAATTAATTGAATTGAGGTCAATATTGACCTCTCTTCAATTTTTCGAGTGTTATAAGCCGATCTTTACCATCTCTCAAATTTCTGTTAACTTAACCTTTTCATCTTGGGACTTTTTTTACTTTTCACGCCGTACGTCGATCGCGTTTATCCCGTCCTTTTGTGCCGGTTTAAGCCAGGAGCCGTCAACTTCAATTTTCTTCATGCTCTTCTGGGAGCTATTTTGCAACACTTGGATATATCGAATTTAAGTGTATCCGCCGATGCTCTATCGCCCCAAAGTCCAGTTGAAGGTATGGGAACAGCGGAGACGCCAGGACCGATGATAAACGATGAAAAGGGAATCAGCTTCCAGTCCGTAGCGCCGAGCGTCTACCAGTCGCTGGAGGTATGCGCTTTTCGGCATGTAGTTACATTCCGGTTCTTACAACAAATCCTTGTTCAGGCAAATACATTTAAATAGACTGTATATTACTGTTGAGTACAAGTTATGTTGTTTTTAATCCATCATTATATTCTAAGAACTACGTGTTTTGCTTCGTTTGGTAATATTTGTTCAATTGTTCAACACTTGTTTAGAGTCGTCTATCAAAAGTTGAAAAGCAACTTACCAATCTGGACTCCTTACCAGGAAATACAGACCTTCTTGATTTCGTCTTCTCCGGTCAACCAAAAGACGTTCTCGCCGAAAAAGAAAAACGGAAAATGACAGAATTATGGCAAACTGTCCAGACTAAACGCCGACTTGACAGTCTAGAGGGGGGACTTGGAAAGGTAATTTTTTATAATTTTCATCGAGATAAATGGATATTCTTCCCAATTTAAATATACAAAACAAATAATCGACATAAGTAACTAGGTTTGAATTGAATTGTTTTTTTGGACCACTGGTTTAACTGTATTTGTTTTTTTCTTCAGGTTTGCGGAGTTGTGGACGAGTTACTTACCGGCATGCGGAAGATGGAAAATAGTCATGCGAAATTTCAGGAAGCGCTTGGAACAGTAATATATGCTTATTATAACATAGAATATCGTATTTTAGCTAGAACGGCAGGGTGGCATGCTAGAAGACCTCAAACCGTTCGCAAAGCAATTGCAAAATTTATCTTCTGTCCAGGTAATTTCTCTCGGTTACTTCGTTTTTCCTCACTAATTTTGAACATACAAGTCCACGAAAAATTTTACCATATGCGCTTGGCAATTTCTTTGATAACCAAACGAAAAGTTTTAGATCTTGGTTTATAAACAAACCAGGTCACATACACCGTTTAACAGTATGCAACCTTAAATGTGAGCGTTTTTAAGTGCATTGAACCTTTTCAGAATATCTGGAGGAATTCTTTCCTTTCATTAAGTAGTAAACTTAACATTGGTCAGCATCTTCTGACCTAACTTTTACAAAATAATCCTTTCGAGATATGTGGACTACTTACTTCAACCAGTTAGGTAAAAAATATAACAACAGCGTGGCTGTTTTTACAACTTATCCTCCGTAATAGCAATTTGCAGAAAAAATCAAACGCACCAACTTGATCTTTATAGCTCGGCTTATTGATTTAATACTTATTTTAGGGCATAAATAGCTTTTTTCGTTTTATCTATCGTAGACAAAAATCCTGACAAAGCTAAAGAAGGCCGTTTCAGTTGATGCCCTCAAAGGCGTCGTCACATGGCCTTCATTGAATGCAGTCATCTCCAGCAATGAGCCTACCCAATCACCCATTCAACCAGATCAAAAGCCTTCTGACGATGACGTCCCGGATTTAGTATCCAGCCTTCCATATTCAATCGTAATAATATTCTCCATATTTTATCAGCCATTTTGGCCAATTAATTTAATTTTTAATTACTCCAGAATCCATTTTGAAGTTCGATTCCGCCTTAAACGTCTAACGTACCGTGTGAGGCAAAAATATGCTAGAATTAACGGTTTCCAAATATATGTAAACGTTAACGGAATTTAATGGTTATCCATAGGCATTTCTTACCATACACATGCTCTTATTTAAATTTAGTGGTCTAAACTAACGACGATGAGCTGAACATACCGTCTGTATTGTTTGAATTCAAATTTAGGTCAGGGTGGTTACACTCAACTGAGGCTCTACCGTCAGTGGTATTTTAGGTATTAATCAGAAGGAACTCCCAACATAAACCGTCATTGTGTAGCCATATGTATTCTCCACTCTAGTAGTTAGAAGGTTTCCTAACAAATCCGAGTAATTTTTGAATTTTAAAGGTGTCACATTGTCGTAGTTGGCGGTAGGAAGCCTGTTTCTGCCAAAATTCTCTGTTTTCATTCATGCCGACTCCCAAGTTCTTCTATTGCAGACTAAATGCGAGGACGACGGCCTAAAGACATGGCTCTCTCAATTGTTCAATCTAAAATCAAACTTGGGAGACCTTCAACAAAGGATTCTAAAGTTGGAAGTACTATGGAGTTTTACGTTTTAACCCTTCAACTTTCTGCTTTAATCAAGTGCTCTTTAATCAAAAATGCTAAGCTTTTGTTGATCCATAACCACACAATCAACAGACTCTACGGCGTTATCAAATGCGTAACTGATTGTTTGCAAATTTTTAGAGTTCAGTGGGTAGGACCATGTTTGTACGAGGGGAACACAAATTTATTTTATGCAAAATGACAATTTGCAATGAATGTTTCCGGAAAAAGCCCTCGATAAAATTTAAAAATCGATAAAAGGTTTGCAGAAACCATGTCACAAGCCTTTTTATGCTTTTAGGAAGGTATCAAAAACGCAGCAACTCTTGAAGACCTCGGCGAAGTTAAAGTACCCAATGAGATTTTCAAGACAATCGAAGAACTTCAGGCTCATGTCAAGAAACTGCTGGAAGAGAAACAAAAGGTCTATTTCACTACACCTCCAGGCATTCATAAACAGACTGCTTTATGTAAACGTGAAAACAAACTTCCTTACTGCTCAAATGTCCCCCCTAACCGGGTGTTGGCCTTTTGATCAGAAGAATCTGTGCATATGAAGTCCTTATCTCAAAGTTCTACCGAGTTAAAATATTATCCTAGTTGTTGTCGTGTAGCTCATCAGCGAGCCAGGACGGAGGTTTTTTCTCACAACTTCTATGAGACCGAACATTAAACGTAGGGCAGAGGCCATACATCCTGAACGATAAATGGAAATTATTATCTTGCTTAGATTTGCTACAGTTTTAAGTCCTCTACTGAAGTGGAGACAAAGTGCTCTTCAGTAGCCAGGTGCCAAGTAAGAAAGTAGCACGAGCGATTGGGTGGAGGTCTGATGTCAACCATCAAAACTTTTTATCGACCCAGACAAGAGAGGCATCAGTGACCATTCCTAGCTCGGGAAATGAGCCTGTTGCCCATCCGACCGCTCTTTGGAATACGGCTGTTGAAGGCGACCCAAAAGTCAAAAATGGCCGCTTCAACCAACCTACCTTTCTAGACAACACTGTTTTAACGTTATTTAGCAAAACAGTCTGCCTATGCTCTTTGCTAACTGGATGAACCTGCGGTATTTTTGCACATGGGAAGACTTTTCGTTTTCCCAAAAGTTAGTCTGTGTATGCGCGTTCTGCGTAACCACTGTGGTGCTTTTCATCTGACTCACCACCTGGTTCAAATAAAAGGCCACAACGAGGCTACTTTAGTTTGTTGCGTGCGATGGGGTCAAAGGTCGCACTTATGGCAAACCGAATTTCTGAGGGCCGTTGTTTGATTGTCTAGTAAAGTCCGTCCAATAATTTCATCTACCCGTGACCTGTCGACCGTTTGTGTGCCCACTTGACCGTGGCGATCAGAACTTGGTTTTCATTTTATTTTTTTCTCATTTAAGGTTTTAATTGAACGAGGTAGCGACGCGGTCAACATCCCCGATCCTCATGTGAGTCCTAAGACTGTGTTCATTTCATAACACCCGCTTGCGGAGTAGATGGGATTTTGATCTTTATAGGGCTTGCATGATCGTTTCACACACGGTCCTCCTGAGCCAAGTAACAGTTAATAATTTTTTTCTCATTTTCCGATATCTGGCAGTTTTTTTCAATGGACCTATTTATTTCACGGCTCCTCACTTCCTCAACAAACCACTTTCTACAATGTCACTACATGTCGTATTAGAAGTGGACACCAGACGCCCATGTGACTTATTTAGCTAAGTAACATTTTAGTTCTCTGAAACATCGGCTTTTTGTGTTCTAGGTATGGCGAAAAGTAGAAGTCGCAGAAACCATGATTTAATCAATGAATTTTGGTAGTTTAACGGCAGGACGACTTTCCTAAGTATTCGCAGAAAAAAAGCCAACGCAAAACTTCCGACCCCAAAGGCGACTTCAATTTTGTGTGCTTTGAATGCTGCCATTCCGATGGCCTTCAAGTTCGACGAATTGCTGTTTTACCATCTTAGCCTGGAGAGACTGCCGCTTAGTTGAGGAAAAAAGTGAAAATACTATTGGCCGGCAAGCCACAATGCTCCCATACACGTTCACTTTACTAAACTCGAAAGTTTATAAGAAGAAGATGCGCTCGCTGGACCAAGAAGTTTATTGGCCTATAACACACTATTGTCGAGGCACCTGTGCAGAAACCGAATGTGCGCATACGTAGACGACTCTCGAAGATCAAATGCTTCCCATCGTCGAGCCGACCATAGGGCGTCACACCCAAAAATGGTTGCCAACAGAAACGAACAGGCGAGTTCCAGGAAGCAGTTAAGATGAAGAAGGGATCGCTGGAACAAAAAGTTTGTTGGCCATATGCATGTCATCTTTGGCTTCAGTGTAGCCCGGCTGACGGTACAAGATCCAACATATCTTGTCTACCTACTGACTCATCAATCTTACAGGCCACCTCTTGAGATGAGTTGAGCAAGTGAGGAAGTTGGGAGGACATTGAAAAAAAGTCTACTCACAAAAGTGACTTCACTACGAAAGTCACTTTTAGGCACTGTTTTTGGGACATGAAAGTGTTCCTTTCTGGTTTGGCAGCTCAACTCCAGCTGCTGATGAACCGGAAATTTGAGCAGAACTCTTTAAGTCATTAATGATTTTAAATCCAAGACCTTTATCTATCTGAGCTACCGTAATGGCCCACTGTCGTCTGAAATGAATCTGAAAGATCCGGACACTCGGGAGTCGAACCGGGCACCTTTGACAGCAAAGAACATGGCAGTTGCCACAAGAGTGCAAAGTCGACCGCTTTCCGCCATCACACCAATCTCCCTGTTTGCTGAAAGACCCGAGAAGTCGACACTGAAATCCATCATCCCGTCACATATACACATTCCGTGCTGTAGTAAATCTGGCGTTCTTGGACTTATTACGATGAGCTAAGGGGTTTTGCCTTCGGGAGTTGCACACAGGCGGTGTGACCCGGTCCATCTCAAGGTTGAGCTTCAGACTGCAGTGGGATCTTTTCTAACGTAACCGTTATGACTCTCTGGTCCTTGAATTATCCGAGCCGCCTTTAGCGTGGCCTGAAACATCCAGACTGAGCACCAAATCACCCGCGTGGCACGCGTAGGTGGGTTCTGTGTCTCTAACATTCAGTGCGTTTTAGCCACTCTTTAGCCATTTTGACGAAGAGAATAATTTCAGAAGTTATTCAGTGCATGACATGGAGTTAAATCTCCGGTTGCCCTTGGGGTCTCTCTCGAGCCCAAACAACGGCCGCAAAACGGCACAATGGAAAGGCTGAGTTCCGTAACACGGTTGTCGAGCGCCTATTTACCATTATATTCATATACATGCAGAACAACATCACCGAAAAAGATAAGAAAGACTAAAGGGACCCTTTCTGGTCTAATAGCCGTCGTTGGCCAGTCATATCCCACACCGAAGTGGGTTTGAGTGATTTCCGTGACACGATCACTGATCGCCCTCCAAACGTTATACATATTTATGCATACATAATTGTAGGTAAGCGCTCAATGTTCAGGTTGCGGAACTCGCTTTTGCCATGGTACATTGGAGTCAAATGAGAACTTTCGCAGGTGGTTGCATAGCGACTAGCTGTATCTGTTGATATGCTGGTATCGGCAAATACCCAACCCGAGGAGTGGATCGTCTGAGATTCGAAACCGCGATCATTGGTTGTTGAGTTAGGGGCCCGTTCTCCTTTCGATTCTGACCGGTACTTTCAATTATGATAAGTTGCTGCCGGCCGATGAGGTTGCGGAACGTGGCCTTGCTTTGCGTCTTGGTACTTAATCTACTGTGAGGGAAGTTATATTTCCCTCAAAATCTTAACCACAGTAGACAATGTCAGACATTTGGTAAAGGTTAAATCACACAGATGATAGACAAATTTGCGACAAGCCCGAATAACATGAAAAGAATTTTTATTTTATTCCTGACTTTGTAAATTCTAATGAACCATGTCATCTCGGGCCCTGAAGAACGTTGTCTTTCACTTGGTATTTCAAGGTGGCTGAGGTACCTGCTGCCTTGTAAGCCCCCGAGTGAGGGTCTGAAGTTTAGGCGTTCTTCCTTCGCACGAGTGACATATTGGATTAATCGTTTCGTATATTTCCACGTGGGAATGTGCTTCACAATCAGGCAATGACTTTCCAAATCCAGCTCTTCCGACTGTCAGTTACTTGGTTAGGGGGGAGAGAGTGCAGGAGCTGTTATGCAAGCCGCGCGCGCTACGCTCAACCCGCGGACGTCATCGTTTTCGACATGCGAACTGCTATGCGACGTGCAGACCTATCTGCCTTTAGTGAAAATTTCCGTTTTCTCTTCGCCTTCATTCCGTTTCCCCAAGGTTCATCTTGCTGTTATGCTGCAGCTGGTCAGAGTTTGGTATACACCGACCCCAAAAACCTCTCGAATTGTTTTTGGGAGGTTGTCCCTTCCCCTCCTCTTTCTCTCCATGTTCTCAGGGATTATGTCCGACAACTTTGTTGCATCGCGTGTCACGTACTACGCCACCCTTTGGGTCACAAGTAGTCGATTGAAAACCGTTCATCTGGCCTCCGTCCCCATAAATCACTCATTTTGACAAATACGTCTGTTCATATTGACCCAACTGTGAAAAACTCGGCGCCTCCGTGGGATTCGAAACCACGCAGTAAGGGGAAGGCTTTAGTACAGCCAACGCTCTAACCACCTGAGCTACCAGGCCCCGCCGGACGACGCGAGTTTAATCACGGTTGGGTCAAGTTACCCGCCCAACCTACTGCAACGTCTGGAATCCACCAAATCTGATACAGTAATTTGACTGCCCAGGCAGGATTTCCTAATTAATTCACCTATAATCCACCAGATGACTACCAGGCTCACGTAAGTCATAGATGTTTTTCACAGTTGGGTCAATATGAATTATTCAAAATCTGCCAAATCATCTATGAAATACGTCTATCTTTTCCGCTCTTATCCATCCTCTCTCTGTCCCCCTCAAACACAATGTGACCTTTTGTGCGTAAGTCTCCGCACCTGATTCCGCAGTCTAAAACTCATGCTAGCAGCCCCAGAATGCCGGAGCGAATCCCTTCTGCACTAAAAAGGAAACCTAACATTCTAGCAGCGGACGCACAAACAACTATAACCACGTTTCTTACTGAGACAGCCTCCCTTGCGACGGAAACCCAAACAACCGCTAAGGCCCCACAGCCGCCGCAAACAAAACATCACCGAGGACACTCTGTGGACGAGCAAGGCACCGCAAATCCGACTGTCCTAGGTGCTGGAAGTCACTGGCAAAGCCAAAAGTTCGAAGTATCCGCAGTTCCAACCCCCTTCTGTTGCCTGTGCTGGTTCACCGTCAGGAGCTTGTTGTCTGTTTTTGAGCTATGGTCACTTTTAATGGAATGCTTTCATCAGTTGCACATGCTTTCTGAAACCAAATTCACCTGCTTCTCGCTAATCTTTTCTACTTGGATACCTTCTCTCTAGGGGGCAAGGAAGGTGGTCATGTGCTTCTGCACCCGGAGCACAGAAATGTCGCGCCTACGGGGTTTACGCCGGTGTTTAATGCCTTCATCGCCTATTAAACTGCCTACTTGTGTTTGTGTTCATTTACGTATATCACTCAGTCTTGACTTTGTGTCTGTGTGTGTGTGTTTCTTTTCAGGTAGAGGATAAGTTACGAGAGCTAGAGACGTTCACCAGCGGTCTCGGTGAACAAGTGAAGAATCTAAGATCAGGGCTGGAGAAGGTCAGGGGCGGTCTTTCTGAACAACAACACAAAACAGAGGTGAGTGACTTCTGGAGACAAAATGTGGGGATTGCGACTTTGCGGGAGAAAAAACGGGGCTAGATCGCAGTTGGTAGCCAGGAATGGGAAAGCGGACGGCGACCTTAACCCTAATCCTAACCTTAAACCTAACTCCGACCTCAACCTTAGACGTTAACCGTTAACCTTAACGGCAACTCGAACCCTAACCCTAACCGAAATCGTAAATGGAACCTTAGCCCTTAGACATAGCCGTAACTGAAAAACCTTGCCGTATTACTAAAACCTAATCGTACGCTCAAACCCTAAACGTGACCCAAAAACCTAAGCCTAAAAGTATAACCCTCACCCGAAAATCGGAAACCATTAACCGGTACCCTAATCCTAACCTCAAACGTAAAACGGAAGCCAAATGGGTCAGATGTGATTATAGAACCCCACAAAATAGCCTCAGTAAGCGAACCCCCCAGCCACCTGTAATACGGAGCCGAAAAGGGAACAACAAAGAATGAGGGAAGTGTCAGTAGGTCGTAGGAAGAGGGCTCCGTAGCTGAGAGATGCGCAGATTCGGTCCGCATTTTGTCACTTCGATCTAATGTCCGACAGGCTTTGTCCGCGCTGGTGTACAGCGGAGAGAGGGAAGGAAGATAGAGCGGGCGCTCGTGAACGAAACTGGCGTGCGTGCCGCCCGCGTAGACGCGGGTCTTGTGGAGTCGTCTGAAGCGTTCCCTCTCATTCCAACCGTGGAGACCATGTTCTGTAGATGGAAAATGGTACATCGATGTAAAACCTGTTCATAGTGTAGGACGCGAGATGTGTACTGCGATGATTCCCCTCACAATGAACAACTCCACGCGTTAGTCACCGTTGTGAATTCGACATTGTAGAAGTGATGAGTGCTCATCAGATCAGAAAGACTTCTCTCCCAATGAAGGCCATCCACATCTGAGATGTTATTTGCGGTAAAGGCTCTGGCCCCACCACTGGGTGGGGGAGATTATTACTAGCGTACTGGTGGCGAAGTAAAGTACAAGTCTTGAAGGACGTGATTTTCCAGTGAAAAGTGCAAAGCCCTCTTCTTATTTCTGCACTATTTCTCACTACGTTCACTTCGCCGAGGCTCTCACTTCTTCTCCTCATAATTTGCTTTTTATACCGCAGTGCTGCATGACACTTCGCCATGTATAGCTGAATGGTACGTATTCAGAGCTGGACAACCAGAGTTTATTCGCAGTCACAGTAGCGGTGCCGGTTTTCTTTCGCAACCTGTCGCCAATTCGGTTTATCTGCTAGGCTCATTAACTATATCGGATTTGCCCAATCGTAAACAAAACGGCCTGTGCAAATCTTCTCCCTGACAATGAATTTAAGAGGTGGGGGCGGGCATTTTCAGTAACCTTGAAGTAAGTCCTGTCGTCTCTCGTTTGTTACTTCATTCGGATCCCATTTGTATGCGCCTGAGCTTTATACGTTACCGAGCTTCTCTGGGCGACGGAGACGCTATGCATATGAAGTCGTACGTTTTTGACGGCTTAATGACATGGTGGATTACCGTCCCTGCATAAATCTTCGTCGTCCCGGGCTGAATTCGCGGCTATGGTGGTGGTGGTGGTGGTGGTGGTGGTGGTGGTGGTGGTGGTGGTGGTGGTGGTGGTGTTTTGATATTGTCGGTGATATGGTGGTGGGAACTTTGGTGGTCTGGTGATGATGGGGTTTGCGGTGCGGTGGTACTAATATCGATAATGGCAACGACAACGGCGCCGGCATGCCTGGGTTCGCGGTGGTTTGAACGACTTTATGATCGGCAAACTATTCTTCTGATACTGGATAGGAAAAGAACTCGTAAAAGTGACTGTGTCAAGTGGGAAATAGGCGTCCGTCATTACCGAATGAGACCCTGTCGGAAAAAAGTCGTTTGCAAGTTGTTTTGACTCTTGTATTTCGCCACTGCTCATTTACTTTGCAGGTCCTTAAGGCGGAAGTCGAAGATTTGGACCAGCAGAAGGCCTCCATAACGTACGTAGATGAAGGATTAAGCAAGGTTAGTTCTATAATTTTAGTTTGCACATGTGAATGCGGTCTTTAACGCATGATAAAATGTTTGGTCAAAAAACTTTGGAAAATCTTGGTTCATTGCTTATTAAAGTGCATCTTTCTTCACTCTTAAAAGCAGCGGTTAACGGTAGGGCCCCATGTTCGGGAAGAACCTGTGGTCGTACTCCGTAGACATCAAACAAACAGTATAATTTGGCCTAAGTCGGTCAAGTCACGGGCTCTCTCTCAAGCCCAACCAGCAGCCGCACAGCGGCGTATGATATATAGGCAGTGTGTTATTACCGACAAAGACAAAGGAGATTAGAATGGCCATTTCTGGCTTATATATATATATATTCATTGTGCCACCAAGACGTAATTCTGTAGTAAAAAGTAGATGTGTTCGCAGTTGAGGCGTCTTCCTATGAATATTCCCATCGCCAACATTCCCGGCATGTCCGGGTGCCCAACGGAGTACGTTGAGACACGACCTACTCCTTTTCATCGGCAGTATTGGGGTAGAAAGATCTGTAATGTCTCCTTTTGGCATTCAGCCTGAATCAAAGGCGGTTCTGCACTTCATAAACGTGGGCCAATACTGCTCTGCCAGACAAAGGGCCTCCTTCGAACAGTTTCCTTTTAAGGCGACTCCAATAACTCCTATTCCCAATATTACTCTTAAGAAACTCCTCTCAGATTACACTTTTCTGACCCCCCCCCGGTCATAAACGTTATCCTTGTCGGAAGTTGCTGCTGGCGTTTGGCTACATGTGTGATGCTGATCGCTGGAGTGGTCCGTTTGACGGCGGGAATCACGTATGTCGTGAAACTGGAAAACGTCTACTACCAAATGCTGAATTAAGACACCGGTCGCCGCCGGGCGAGGTTCCCCGCGTCTTTTATGAGGAATGTTCTACTTGGTGGACCAGTCGAATTTGTACAGCCAGTGGGCGTGGGTTAGATTGTTCAGGTGTGGAAGGCGATAACGAGATCTTCGAGGTTTATTCAGTTTGACCGCAATTCTGACACTCCGGAGGGAGTTCGCCTTCGCGGCCTCGGTCACACTGTACACCTCTTATATAACTTTGACGCGCACCGAGATTTTAACCCACCCTCGTACCTAAAAAGGCCTTGAGAAGAAGAACACTGAAACCTAAGTGCTAATCTTCTGAAACTACCATGGTTTTCTGTTCGATAATTCCGAGCACAACCAGACGTATACTGTTATCCCACTTGCGGTCAGGTGAAAGAGGAATCACAAATGCCAATCGCGACAATGATTCAAGGACTGTCTGGGCCAATGTAGGATACTTTTGCCGCCAGATCTGAGATCATTTTGTCTGCATGCTGATTGCTGATTTATAAGTACACCGAGGTTTTCGCGCTCTCGGTTGCTAGGCAACAAGGTGCGATGGTTCGCGTTTCCTGGTGTTCAATTCACAGTCGTAATCCACATCCACACACACGCGCGCATTTTGTGTGAAACAAAGGCGACGAGCCGACTTTTTGTTGTCCATTGCCCGCCGAAGGTATTGTAGGATCGCAAAGGTGTACTTTTTAAGCTTGTTAACAGGCCTTTTGCCGATCAGAAAGCTGACCCAGTATCTTTCCTGGTTTGCCGATTTCCGCCTTGAATTTATTTTTCACACAGCTGTCTGCTCAGATCAGAGCGCCTATGCTTCTCGATCGGAACCGACGGACACCGACGGCTGTTTGGCTTGAGTACGCGAATGAATGTAGTTGTATCGGCTGCGCTTTCTCACCTTGGCTGCGGCCGACTGGATGTGGACTTGTCTGGCCCAAAAAGAGACCTTCTCCGTCCGTGGTTTGGGCAATGGTTGACTGATTCCGACATGCAAACAAGAAATCCTTATTGTTGTTTTTCTCGTTGATGACACTTCTCGAATACTTGAGAATAGAAATGACATACATGCGAGACGAGGTTGTTGTAAAAAACTGTCATCTAACGTAATCCCAGATCGGAGATTTGAGTTAGGCAAGGAAACATGGACTGTCATCGTAGTAAAGGTGGCCTTGTCTTAGATTATAGGGAGCAGTTGTTAGGATAAGGGGTATGATGGGAGTTGGGATTATTTCGATGAGGGTTAGCGTTGGATTGATGAGGGCAAGGGAATAGGAACCTCCGGAAATCTAACGCCTGCTGAATTGGGAATACGCAGCTAACTAGGAAGTTTATGCTGGCTGATAGAAGTGAGCTACCGTGAGCCAAAGACACGAAAAAAACCCTAAGATAACTCCAGGGCCGACAGATTCGCCACTCCTTGTGTGGAATCGACAGCCTAGCATAATAGCTAACGCTTTGGCTTTTCCTAGTTCCGCGAATATTCCCATGTTACAATTGAAAAGTCAATTTGGCAAACATCTGTTTTCGGTAACTCGTCATCAGGCCAAAACAGTTACACAGAAGTCGAAATTAGGCGAAGTTACAGGGTTTATAAGTGATTCAGGGGTTATTGACACTCATCCTTCCCACGCCACTCGCATCCGAGGCGTGGTCGGCGTGTCGTGGTCATTGGGTCAAGGGGACGAGGGGGAGGGGGGATATGGGCTGAGACTAATGTTTGTACTTTGGTTACGCTGTGCACACACCGTTATCATCTGGGGCCGGCGTTGGCCACGGAAGACAGAGCGCTTGTGTCAGCGTCATCTGACAACGTGGCACTGGACTGGCTAGCCGTATAGCCACTGCCTCGGCTGTAGCTAGCACCCGTTGGCGTGGGCCTCTGGACAAGCTTGCTGGTGTCCGGTAGACAACCTGAAAGGCTTCTCTGGCATCGACTTGGTGATTTGTATCGACAAGATGTGCGAGAATAGACTTCGAAATCGATTTCCTTTCACTTCTGCTTATCCAGGCCGGTATGTGTTCACGTACTCTTTTCTCCAGGCGCCTCGTTGTACGACCAAAGTATCCCGCTCCACAGGAGCAAGTGAATGAGTAAATACACATCGATGTGGCCTGAAGGGGGAGTCGGTCTTTACCGCCCAAGCGTAGGAGGAGAGAGTTAGTTAAACATACACGTAAATTCGCTTGCGGGGAAAGCGCCAGTGATCGCTGTCTTCAGACGTCTTCTTACTAGGTCACTTCCCGCGTCCCTTTGAAAGGGCAGTCTTTTAAAAAGTCTTTGTAGGCGTCAGCATAATGAACGCTAATCAATACCTTAATTTACGCTCAGTGTGTCTCTGATCGTGCCTCAGTTATGTCCAGTGTAATATCTCCCCACGAACAAAGATCTTCAACACCGATGGGCCGCCCAGCCGCTCTCACCGTTTTCAGGTTGGAAAAGATATCGGACTTTGGAAACCTTCTGTGTCTGTGTGTGTGCGATCATCGCAACAATCGCGAACTCTTTTTCCGCGACGAATTCGGTGCATTGGAAGTCTCCAGTTTCCTTTTGCGCTTCGACAATTCGACAATCGTGCCCGACAATGTCCATCCTGCCTGCCTCACAGCATGGTGCATCAGGCATGGTGACTTGCGCTCAAATCAGTTTATGGCGAGAGTGGACTTGCGCAGCTTCTACCTCACTCTCTCCTTCCCCTCCCACCTGGGCCCGGCGTCAAGTCATAGTCAAGATATCTGAAGGAGAGAGGGAGGGCACAAGTGGGTGGCACGGCCGGGCCCCCACCTAGCTGTGCCACCACACCCCCTGGTCACTTAACCAGAAGTTTAACCAACAATAACAGCACTAGGACGGATCAAAAAGACGGAGGTGACTGGGCAACCGTGTTTCCCATCTGCATACCCAGCGGGAGCGCAAGCGCATCTACCGGCAGAGAAGAAGGCGTCAGGGACCTGCGGGGACCATAGTCTGCTGATCCTGGCGTAGCAGGCGCCTTCATACCATTCGCACTCCAGAGTTATGTAGAAGAGCAGTTTTGAGAGAGGCCCGTTCGATACTGGTCTGTACACACTGTAGTTGGGAGACACAAAAACCGAATTCTTAGAACTGCTTTTTAATTTCACATCTTCTTCTTATTTACTGCTACAGCAATAAATCTATTAAGCTGTTTACTCGAAATGCCTAGCTGAGTTTCGCATTCACTTGTCACATTTTATATATCGCCTCCACTTCCCAAGGTAAAGGCCTTTAAACCTAACTAAGTCCAGAATCTTCGGACGCAATCGTCTCTCCTCTTTCTTAACTTGCCACCTGATTTTCAACGATAAATGACTTTACTCGTATAAACTGTAAAAACCTGGCCTTCCTGGAGGCATGCCCAACGCTTGAAATTTACAATGTCTATGAGTTGCAGTTTAAAAAAACAACCTAATTTGGAGAAATTATTCCCGCCCCCTTTTCCATTTTTCCGCAGAAATTAGACAGCCACGATCTGGATTCGAAATTGGATCGAGCCCTCTTTGACCAGACTACTGAGGGAATCCGACGTATCGTTGAAGGACTCCTTGAAAAGCTTCTGGGTTTGGTAACGACTGAGTTAATTTAGGAACTCGAAGTCAGTCAGATGCTCTGACTACTTCTCTCTTACGAATATTTGAGTTCGAATTTGCAAGGTCCAATTTTATTGTGTTGTTTGAAGTACTGTGATTTTACTAGCAGGCCTATCTGAGAAAATGACTCGGCCCTTCTGTAATACGGTTTTCTCTTGATCGTTTTCAATAGCCCGCTTTCTAATGCTATCTCATGTAAAGTTTTTTTTCAAGGAAATGTGAAATTTTAGGCCACGTTTTAGAAATGCTTGCTGTTGGACGTCACGTATAAGTAATGCGCATTTCACAGCAATCATACAGTCGGCCAAAAGTTCTTTTTCTCTCACTGTGACTCATTCATTATTCTTTACTCGTCATGTGTATTTTTAGTTATTCTCATTTTTCAGTTCTTTAAAACAGTCTTTTCTTTGGGCGTACTGTGCACAGTACTAGCCCGACGAGAATTTATCGAAAGCTACGTATGCTCGCCACCTCGTCTTCTGGTTACTGCTACGGGAATGTTCGCAACTCTAAATTCAAATATATCTACTAGGACTCCCTAACAAAAATATGCTTTCTTTCAGTCGTTTGATAGAGAATCACGTCATTTTTATATTTTGTGCTCGAAGGAGGAGTACGACTTAGCTTTTGAAAAGTTTCTAATTATGAGATTTTTAAGACCGCGCAATGTCCATTCATATAGCATCATATCTGTCCGTTTGCCATTGCTCCTCATGAAATGTGCAACATAGTCCACATACATTGCAAAATTTTATGGACTCTTTATGCTATCTTTTTAAAGGCATAGAAGGATATGTTATTTTTCTTAGGCAGAACGCATGAACCCTGTAGACTGAAATTCCCGAGCGCTTATGCAACGACTGATCAGACTGCAAATTATTTGACAATTAGAAAACCCTTTTATAACCTAATTACACTCCTTCATCGAGCACAAAATATAAACATGACATGATTGTCTATCAAACGACCGAAAGAAAGCACTTTTTGGCGTTTTTATTAAACATATTTAAATTCGCAAGACTATCGAAAATCAACTTGAAAATGCTTGCTACTAAAGTGGTTATTTTTTACTGCGTACGGTTTCTCCGGGGAAGTTAAAGGCAGTGTATTCAAAAGCAGACATCCTGCCGAGTTTGAAATATTGTTGGATTATGCCGCAAGATAATCAGCATTATAGCGACGCCTTATTAATCCTTCCTAGTCGAAAACGCATTTCAGAACATCAGCCAACATTTCACAAGATCTGTTACTCACTGTATGTGGCGTAAACCCTGCAGGACGTTGGACAAGTACATTTGACGGCGCCGTGATGACTGTCGGCTGACACATTTTAACGTTGATATGCAGATTATTCCGTTAATAATCTAGAAAGGAGCCGCTGAACTTTAGGATTTCATGCAGGAAGAGGGAATAAGGTATAACAACACTTCAAAGCATGTAGGTAGTGGTGAATTCGAGGGTCATTTTGGTGTCAACTAACTAGCATAAAATACAACCTGCTGTATGTTTAAGGTCTGTTTTCATTTGTTTAAAGGAAACTGAACTGAAGGGGATGATTGACGAACTGAGTGGAAATGTGTTATCGAAAGCGGAAAAAGATGAGCTTGATGAGTTGCGCAAATGGTTGGAGAAGAAGCTGGCCAGCCTCCCGGCGCGGCCAAGGCGTGCGTCCAAGAAACAGCACATGGACGAGTGCTGTCAACCCGGTTACCTTCGTGGAGACGGGGCGGCCGGTCTTCGTCGAAAGATCGTATCCCATTTCCACTGCATCTCTTGTGATCGTCCATTGGAGCTCGAGGTCCCAAAGACGTACGAACAAATTTATGACATGCTAGTTTGCCTACTTAAATATACTCAGTAGGTCGTGTTTTGTTTGCTTTGCAATTTCACGAGAAACCATGTAACCTTATTCCCACCGTTACTGGGAACTTTTACACGGTGGGAAATTTTTATGTCAGTCTTCGATGGTTTACTTATGTGTATACTGTGTTTTTTTCGCTAGAGACGTTCCAGCCCTGCCTGAACTGCGGTCCTTCCGCCAGGGCAGGTCACCTCGGCCACTGGCACCGACGGATTTAGCGAGAGCTCGTAGACGCCGGCACTTGTAAGTCTGTTTGGCAGCTAACCTCTTGAACAATTGCCCATATAACTAGAGATGCATGCGGTCGACTTCCACGCGTCAACCATTAGTACCGAACTATAAATTGATGATGGATGTCTCTGAGGCGAAAAGATGAGTTTTTAAAACGCCACTGTGAGCAATCCTTTTGTAATTACCAAACTGTGTCTCGCTCACTTGCAAAGGGATCTGCGAAGCAGTCCTGCCGATCCGGTGGCGATCCAACGACCATCTCCTTTTAAGTTAACTTTTCGTTTTCTTAACTGCGGTCAGTATTCTTCGCCTGCGTGATAGACGGCATAATCCCTGCAGTCCACAAGGATATTTTTCTATTGTATTCACCATGGCGAATGCTGTTGTTGACTCACATAATGAGATCGAGGGCGATTTTCCTGTTTTGGATAAAAAAGGCTGGTTTTTCGTTAAAAGTTTGTTATTAAGTTAGGCTCGGCTGTAGCCATCATCATGCAACAGGTCGTCATTTGTATTACTTTATATCATGCTTTGCTACTTACTTATTGTGAGTAGGTTGAAATATTCTAATTATTAAGAACACAAATAAACATGATTTTCTCCTGACAAAATGGCCATTCTGGTCCCCCTTGTCTTTGTCAGTACCATGTCATTTACGTCTTCCCCTAGTCATTGTGCGACTGCCTGAGAGGGTTCTAGTATTAGTCCCGAGGCAAACTCCATAACCTGATCGGTGAACGCCCATCTGTCATAGTTTTGTGTATACCTCTGACTCAGTCTGATCATTTACGTTGGCCGACGTTAAACTTGCGTTCGCTCATAAGAGTTTCGTCTATCCGTATATCCGTACTCGGGCATCCCAAGGACATGATTCGTGGAGCGAAGAAATGCTCAGCTGGTTTTTTCGCACGCAACTTTCAAGGCAACTGCAGATTCGGGGATGTGCTATCCATTGTCGCCTGTTAGCGGCTCTGATATGTAACGCCGACACGCTGTAAGTGTTTTTGAATCCGGTGGAGCCTGGCGTATTTACATTTAACTTTACTGTCAGAGGTGTAGGTTTACGGATAGGGTTAGTTTTAGGGTCCCATTCAAATTAGATAAAGGTTAGTTTAGGGTCGAGGTTACGTTTATGTGGCCTGAAAGACTACCAACCGACGAATTAACTCGGCCGTCTTCCCAGGACGGGTAATCAAGGTACAATGGCTTCTTCTTAACATGGCCTTTGCGACAGTCTCATCCGCTTCGAATTGGAACCGCCTGGCTTGTTTCTGTGAAATCCCCGCGTGGCACCTGTAGACGGGCTGTTTAAATTCGTCATCCTCCGGTCGTTCCTGCGGGTTAGAATCCGATCAGTCGATCTTCAGATTACGGTACGTGTTGCTGTTAGGCTTCTGAGGTTGGCACTAAGTCCTTCGTATTTGTGGTGGGAAGGAGTTAGCGGACAAGGTAAGGGTTTGTAGAGGGGGTTGGTAAGGACATAGACGTGCTATATTGGAGTTTCGCCGCCGCCCAGAGGGTTTTAGGGCTGCTGTGTGGGTTCAATTTCGTTCACGGTTTTTATGGCTGCGGTTTGGGATGAGAATTTAGGATTAAGGTTATGGTGAGTGGCAGACTAAACGACAAAGGTAGGGCTGGTGTTCGTCCTGGTGATTAGGTTAGTGTTAGTTTTAAGTTTAGATTTTGTTAAAGTATTAGGGTTAGTTCCGGGATTATGGTTGCAATTAGGGATTGTGATTTGAACCAACAGTTTCGGTTACTACCCACGCACTTCGGCGTTGGGTTGGCTTTCGAAATGCCTTCTTGCAATAACCTTTACCAGGAAGTGGGTGTTTGGGCATATACAGCTGCCATAGGGGTCGCTTTCATGACTTTGTATTGCGTCCGGTTACTGCTTGTCTTTCCGGCAAAACGAGGCTCCCTGTCAGTTTACACGCCAACGGTATAGAGAAGGACCCCACCCAACTGTCAGTAGACCGTGGATCGTGTTGTATGGGGTTTTACCTTGGCATAAATTTGCAGGTCGTCGCAGAAATTACACTGCCAACGACGATTACTTCCCACGATCTCAAACCTTAACAAAAACTCGTTATTTTGTGAAATTTACTTTTGTTTATTGTTTACTTACCATTCTCATTTCCGTTGTCGTACAATAGCATAGGATAACATTTTCGGCATAAATCCAGGCAATTTTTGTGCTTGCTTCCATTTTGTCAGCTTACTGTCTAGCGTGCTGCCCCACCCATAAAACTCCCTTTAACATAAACCACGTATGGCACGATCCACTGTTTACTGACAACTAGATGGGGTCCTTCTCTATAGCGTTGCCGTTTACACTTTGCTGACACACACTTTTTTAATTGCGCCCTATTTTTATGGATTGAATTGGGTTATTTAAGCAAACGTCTGTCAATTCATTGTTCCTCCCTATTTTCCCTCTACACTTCTCTTTTTGCAATTTTTCCCTTACCCATGAAATTCCTCATTACCACCATTAAAGGTGACCTCACGTGTTATTTTGCCAAGCGTTTCCGCACATTAAATTTTACCCTTTTCCACTTTTATCGTCCTCACCGCTTTTCCAGTAAAACCCTGTTAACTTTTCCATGTCATAATAATCTGTTGCAAAAACATCCCATCCTGTGCTTCTAGAAGCGAATTACGTGCATTCTACCTTGATCCCCCCTACGTTGAGTACGTTTATCTGTTTAGTGTAAAGCTTCGCTTCGCGCACTGCCACTTATACTTCATTTCGCCCGCCATTGGTCAGCTCGCTTTGAAATTTTTTATGTGCTGTATACTACTGCGCCAATACGGACAGTTTACTGACCTACCACCGTTAGGAAATTATAATTTTGGTGCAGATGGCACTCAGGATGCTGCATTGAAGTATGTTTACGTTGGAGTAGTGGTGACGTTACCCTTTTTTTCTTTCTAAGCTAATGCAAATTTACAAAAAACCACGACTGGCTCCAGGATTTAGGAGGGCGGGTAGAAAGCGGTTACCTCGCTCCGGATGCGTGATGGGAGGGAGGTCGGCGAAGGCGAAGTTGGTGGGGGTGGGATGAAGGGCAGGCGACACAGCCCCTCAGACATCGTAGCACGTTGTTTCGTGATCGATCCGCGGCCAGCAGTGATTTCGCGGAGGCTTTTGGCCATGGAATCTGCAGGGACGGAGCAGGTGCTTTTCGTCTTTTGAGTGTATGCATTGGCTTTCGGTCGGCTTAACACCACTCTGTCATCAAATGGGGAGCAAGTTTGGCGTCCAAAGAGTGAGCCAACGCAACATATGAAATGGGTTGGATAGTGCTCGGGACATACAAGAAGGAGCTTGTTCACCCGTCTTTTCGAAAAGATGCTCAATCATTTCACCTATATAACCTTCTCCGTAGGAACAAGTTACTAATAGGCGCACATGGACGACGTTTGAAGAGACAAGTTGACTCTACCTTCTTGGTGATAGAGTGGATCATTTGCGAAATCACCCCACGTTCGGCCGCATGGTACGAACGTTGTATAACGGAAGTCAACGGACGATGGAGCAGTTCGTTCTTTAAGCGTTCTGAGTACGTGAGTTTGGGGCGAAGCAAACACTCCCAATTAAGCTGCTCGATCTCCCTTCCACGTACCTTTGAGTACATTTGCCAAGGCACCCCTTCTCAGTCAAAGCTATTCAAGCGTGTTTCGAGAACATATCCATCGGGCCATGTTACTTAGGCAACAAACCAGACCTCTGTTAGTTCAATGTACCATTGACTGTTAACCTCCCTATCTCACCCTTCTGCCTAAGACTAGTATCCACACCGTAGCACAGCATGACTCAAGAAATCGCCGTTTCGAATGGATGCTACATTCACAAGACAAGCCAAACGCAGGTGTCAGTCCATCGATTTATCGAATTTCCCCTGCTGATAGGGCCATGTGACTTTCTGGGGTCACCTGTTGGACGAATCTCTGGCTCCGATTGGCTGGCACAGTTTGTCCATGATCCGTACTTCCAATAACTGCATCATATCCCTCTGTACAGAACAGACATCTAAGCATGCTTCCTGCACCTCCTCAAAGAGACCAGACACTAAGATTGGGGGAATGAGGGAGGGTAGTGTGTACCCGTTGGGTTGGAGGATAGTCCAACGTCCCGCCTTCATAGTTTACGCTGACATTGTAGCTACTTATTTTTATAGGGTAGGTCGGATTATTGTACTAATTTTCGCGAACCTGCCATTGAGGTATGTACGGTAGTTTATAATACATTGATTACGATTGAGACTCCGCTTATGAGACTTCCAGATCAGCCAGAAGAAGTATAAATAGAGGGCAGGACGACCGGTAGACCCCCTCATACCGTGGTATTTCTCTGGAACACACCTTTTCCAATTCACGGCGATGCTTGCATCCATCCGTGTTCTTTTCATTGTCATGGATTATTGATTTTTTGGTTTTTCCAGTCTTGGAATATCCTACTACGATGCCTACCGTTCTCCCAGGCAATGCGGTGGACAGCACACAACAACGAGTCCTGAATCTCGTTTGCGAAGAGCTCAGATGGCTCTTGGGTGAGTTAGGCCGCCTCTTTTTTCTCTACCACCCTAGATCCCGCAGATGATAGACGTTAGTATTGGTGGCCTAGTGAGTTCATACAGTTTAAGGGTCCGGGAAAAAAAGTGCTAACATATATTACTTATGTAAGATTAGCTAATCCAGCTATTTCTGGCTAACAAGCCAGAAATGGCCATTCTATTTCACAATCCACCTTTCCTCTAAATCGTAGGGGCCGTAATCTTTTCGCCTCCCCTCCCCCTCGTTCAGAAACCTATCATGACTCCATGGCAATCCCTCAGTATGTCCTATAGCACCAACTCATCTGGGGTAATAATCTGGTTTTCTCTTTTGTTTTCTTTGCGTATGGCTACGGGTTGGTGTCATTATCTCGAAAATCCAGGAGTACAGTTCCACTTTTCCGAAGAACCTCCTCCTTTTTTCAGTATATCGGCTTGGAATGCATACCACCCCCGATCTACAAATATGTATATATAGATATATGTGTGTGTGTGTGGGAAAAGGGAAGCCTCTTCGGAAAGTAGCGTTGTACTCGAGGATGTTTAAGTGGTTGACACCAACCAGTCGTCAGACGGAATGAACGGAGGGGAAAATGAGATTGTCAGACAAGATCAATAGACGCGACAGGACAGATAGTGACAGACATAAAACTGGTGTGTGAAAGTGGTAGACACATAATAACGATGGGCTTTGAGACAGGTCGTCGATGAGTCCCGGCCCTAACCTGCATCGACAGCTGCTAATCCAGCCGTATGCGGTCCCACTGGATCACTAATCTCCCTCCCCTCCAGCACGGGGTGCCGTAACAGTTCTCCCCTTTTCGGTCTCAAAACCTACTGTAATTATGTGTCCACCCCCTTCACACCCCGGTCTTGCGTCTGTCGTTGTCTCTCCTGTCACACCAACCGATCCAGTCCGACAGGCTCAGTTTCGTCTGACGACGGGTTGGTGTCACCAGTTTGAAAATACACGAGTACAACTCCACTTTTCCGAAGAGCCTTCTCTTTTCATTAGATCACTTCGGGATGAATACTACGTTAGTTATTCAGTGTACATATATATATATATATATGGATATAGGCGAAAATGCCTATATATATTCACTCAGGAATGGGCGCACACCGATCCATTGGCTTCCCGAAGCAAACAAGCTTTGTATGGGCGATAGGGGTCACGAACAGGCAACCACCTACCAGGCCGAAGTCGGCCAGGCTACGATAGCAGAGCGGATACGACAGAGTCTGGGGGGTAGATTGATACAGCACTGTTTCGGGCTTGTTTGCCTTCATTCAGCCAACCATAACCCTAACCACCAGCTGGGACCGGAATCACAAACATGCGCACAGACGCACCTAGCGCAGCTGGTCCACCACTGAGGTCTACCAGATGGGTCATAAGCACTTCATCGAACCGAAGTTCATCAGTGCCTCGCCACCTGCCATTCTCTGTCGCTGCAGATCGGGTATTTATTCACTCGGTGAACTGAACTGATGAACTTCGGTTCGATGAAGTGCTTATGGCCCATCTGGTAGACCCCAGTGGTGGACCAGCTGCGCCAGGTGCGTCTGTGCGCATGTTTGTGATTCCGGTCCCAGCTGGTGGTCAGGGTTATGATTGGCTGATTGAAGGCAAACAAGCCCGAAACAGTGCTGTATCAATCTATCCCCCAGACGCTGTCGTATCCGCTCTGATAAATAAATAAATATATATATATATAGGCAAAATGGTATTACCGACAAAGACAAGGGAGACTGGAATGGCCATTTCTGGCTTATTAACCGTCGTCAGCCACCTCGAGAGACAGCCCTTAAGGCACAACGTAACGAGTGAGTTCCGTATGAACGATCGGTGATCTCCCCTACCACTGTCTATTTCCGATCGAAAACCGACAGGACAACGGGCTCCTGGCCCCGTGGGTAGAGGCGTGGACTTCTAAACCAACAGATCGCGATTTCGAGGCCCGGGTGTTCCACACTCCGGGCTTGGGTATGGCTGGCTGACGACGGCTAATAAGCCAGAAATGGCCATTCCAGTCTCCCTTGTCTTTGTCGGTAATATCATTTTGCCAATATATCATGCGTCGCTGCGCGGCTGCTGGCTGGGCTCGAGAGAGAGCCCTTAAGGCACAACGGAACGAGTGAGTTCCGTATTCACGATCGGTGAGCGCCCTCTAACATTATATATATATATAATGGCCATTCCAGTCTCGCTTGTCTTTGTCGGTAATATCATTCTGCCTATATATATATATATATAGGCAGAATAGTATTACCGACAAAGGCAAGGGGGAGCGCCCCTACCACTATATATATATATATATATATATATATATATATGAGAAGATAAGGCGATCGCAGGAACCATCGGTATATTTGCCTGACGTTTCGAAAGCAAACAAGCTTCCATCATCGGAGGTGGTTTGCGTACTGCACGTCACAGTATTTATGGGTTTTTGTTCTTCGTGCTGGCGTGTCACTGACTGCCAGCGCGCTGCATCTCAAGGCTTGGCGATTTGTTGTCATGGCGGCAACGGTTCCTCCTCATTCTTTGTCGGGTGTGAGAAGGGGAGCGGCATCAGGGCGACCGCGGCCATTGCTCTTGTTCGCATTGTCCGTTGTCTGCCCTCCGCGCATCTCGCCTTCCTGCCCTGTTCGCACACGACAGCGACAGGCACCCCCAGCCCGACGTCAACACTAGCATGGTAACCACCGTCCACACGGGTACGGGCGTGTGCGAACAGGGCAGGAAGGCGAGATGCGCGGAGGGCAGACAACGGACAATGCGAACAAGAGCAATGGCCGCGGTCGCCCTGATGCCGCTCCCCTTCTCACACCCGACAAAGAATGAGGAGGAACCGTTGCCGCCATGACAACAAATCGCCAAGCCTTGAGATGCAGCGCGCTGGCAGTCAGTGACACGCCAGCACGAAGAACAAAAACCCATAAATACTGTGACGTGCAGTACGCAAACCACCTCCGATGATGGAAGCTTGTTTGCTTTCGAAACGTCAGGCAAATATACCGATGGTTCCTGCGATCGCCTTATTTTCTCAGTTATATCCGGGAACGCGCATTTTTCCTTCAATATATATATATACATATATACATATATATACATATATATATGCAGAATAACATTACCGACAAAGACAAGGGAGACTGGAATGGCCATTTCTGGCTTATTAGCCGTCGTCAGCCAGCCATACCCAAGCCCGAAGTGTGGACCACCCGAGCCTCGAACTCGCGACCTGTTGGTTTAGAAGTCAACGCCTCTACTCACCGGGCCACGAGCCCGTTGCCTTGTCGGTTTTCGATCGCTGTGCGGCTGCTGGTTGGGCTCGAGAGAGAGCTCTTAAGGCACAACGGAACGAGTGAGTTCCGTATGAACGATCGGTCAGCGCCCCCTACCACTATATATATATATATATATCAGATGAGGAAAGGACGACCGTGAATGAGGGTTGGGTTTTAAATTTATTCCGTCTTTATTCAGGCAATCATAACCCTGACCAGCAGCCTGGACCAGAAACAAATATGCGCACGGACGCATCTGGCGCAGTTGGTCCACCACTGGGGTCAACCCGGTGGGACATAAACACTTAATCGAGCCGAAGTCCATCAGTGCCTCGCCATCTGCCATTCTCTGTCGCTACAGATCGAGTATTTATTCAATCAGGAATGGGCGCACACCGATCTACTGGCTTCACGAAGCAAACAAGCTCCGTATGGGTGGCAAAGCTCACAAACAGACAACCAACTACCAGGCCGAGGTCGGTTAAGTTACAGTAATGGGGAATGACAACTGCTGAGGAAATGATGAACTTCGGTTCGATGAAATGCTTATGACGCATCTGCTAGAACCCGTCTGTGTACCAGCTGCGCATTGTACTAGGGCGTGTTTGTGTTTCCTCTCCCAACTGCTGCGAATGGAGGTTCGCTGGAAGTTTGCCCCTGCACTGCTCGACAAAATTAAATGTGTTTTAGTGGATTTCCTGAATGGAACAACAACATTTTGCGGTATCGGTCTGCCTGACCGAAGTTAGATCACTTGAAAGAAGCGGCCTCGACTTTTTGCACATTCTGTTCACCATGTAATCAACTTCGCATAGTGTCCACTTTCTTAATCTTTCGTCTAGGATGGCATACGATGAAGATGAACTGGATGAACTTCCTGGGTAAGTGCCAGATTCACAACCGCCCCAGAATGAGATAAAACTACTTTACTTAGTCTGTGGCTGTTTCTAAGAAGTTAGCGGCTCCTACATTTTCGGGGTCGGGGCATGGTACTAATTAAAGTATCTTGCCAATTTTTCGTCTGTATTTAGTTACAGACGCCTTGCATTTCCCGAAATGTCACCAGTTAGGTCGTTAGTCATCCTCCCTCTTCGCGAAAGTGTGACGCTGCCCCACCTCGGATCTATCGCAACTGCACCCTCCAGGCGTGCATATTTGTCGATATTGCCCGACTCCCGGCAGTTCGACTATCACGAATGATGATGTCCACCGTGTGCTCCAGAACTAGGCTGGGCGTTGAGACGATAACTTGCGTGTTACTTCATTTATAGTGATAATATACCGCATCTGGCAACACCCGTTCTCTGAGCGTCCGGTGCGACGACTTTTTGACTTCTTTCCCACAAACTAATAAGCCCTAAAACGTTCTTCTATTCGTGGTTTGCTCACAGTTGCGCTGGCTGTTCCTTCGTTATTTGTTCATACGACCAGTTTCTCTTGTTTTAACGCGCTTACCTCTCTCGCCTTCGCGAGCAGAACAAAGATAGTGAAGAGGGTGGAACATGAAATTGTGGACCACCCCGGGACAACAGGCAGCCTCGAACCAAATTGCAGGGTTTATTTAGTCCTGTGTCCTAACTAACCTCAACAGTAACCGTAACACTTGAATTTGGGTCAAGGATACCTTATTGGGGATGCCCACATTTGCAAAAGTCAGCAGTCTCACGTGCTCGCGTCCACTTGCGTGCTGCAAGCCTGCTTCTGCCAGCGTCTCGCCATTGGTTGCGGCCATAGCACTCCCCTAGAACGTGATTGGTTCATGTCCGCAAGAAGCTGTTCGGCCCTTCTAGGCCTTTCCTCTTGAAGCCGATTGGACAGAATACTAACCAGTCTGAACGGGACGCTAGAAATACGCGCAGCTTTGCAGTGGGCGCGACTTGCAGGTTTCAGTATATTTTCTCGTGGCCGGTTATGCCTTGCTTCTCTGTTACACGCTTACGGCTCGTGTTATTCCTGAGTACCAGGTCGGTCATAATGCACCTGTAATACGTATTGCCCAATCTGGAAGGGCCTTCAGTAGTTCCCCAAATTTCACACAGTTCCACACTGGTATTTTACTGAACCGCTTTTTCGAACTTTTCCACAATTCTTTGCATTGTTTTCTTGGTGAGACTGACTTACTTGGCTCCCAAAACCAGACATTAGAACAGGGATCTCCTGCAATACCGGCGGTTTTGGGCCAACTTTCTGTGAAATTCGAGCTAGGCCTAAGGTTAGGGTTAGGTTAAGGATAAGGTTTAAGGCTTGACCTTAAGTTAACAGTTAGGTAAGCCCGGATAAAGTCTAGGATTACGGTAGGGGCCAGTGTTAACTGCAAAGTTGGTGTTTAGAGTCAAGACTAGGGCAGCGGTCCAGTTTCAGTTTATTAAGAGAAATATAGGCGAGCGCCTTTGAACTCCCTATTGGTTACAAGTCCTCGAAGAACAGCATTGATAAGTGGGAAGGTGGAAAAGCGATTTTGTACATAATCGTGGACAGCTGACAGCCAGTCGGAAAAGAATAATCATTAACGGTTACTTACTAATTACAAGTAGTATAAACACGTAAAACTGGGTGCCGATTTATGTGAGTGGATGCGAGGACGGTAATTGAGGAGCTAGATACGTGTCAAGTCTACACTTAAAGGAATTCCCACAGGAGGATATTGCAACATTGGTAGGCAGCCACTCTGTTACGGAAAAAGAACTTTCGTCCATTGATCCTTGCTTTCCCTGCGCGTAGTTTCAGGGGATGACCGCGCAAAGTGGGCGTGTTAGCTTGAGTGAAATAATTAGTGGGATCCAAACCACAGTCTAGGCCATTGATAATGCGAAATGTTGGTATAGGGTCACCACGTAATTGTCTGTCGGAAATGGGAAACAGGTTGGGATTTAACAGTTATTTTATATTAGGGGTATTGTAAAAGTAAGGACAAGGGAGTATTTCATCCTTACCGGAATTGTGCGCAGGTCTGCCTTTATTACTTAGGTAGGCGTTCCTAGTTCCATGTCCTGTTTAGGGGACCATATACGTCAGTCCCATCGTTTTTCCCGTGAAGATAGCATTTCCGAAAACGCAGACTCGGCGCGTGTCTGTCAATAAAAAACAAAAGGTCCTTCCTCTCTCTCACGGCATGTTTAGAGTCGCTGCGGTCGAAAATGGAGCGTCGTCGCAGGAGCGGCCGCCTAAGTTGTCCATCACTCTCCCGCCACTTGATGGAATGCGTCCTCGGTCTGCTGGTGGTGCTACACACACAGTGTCAACTGGACGACAAACGCAGAGGGTGAGTCAGTGACGCCTTGGAAACAGCTCTATATCAGTTGTCGCTGCCGGAGAAATCCGGAAGTGGTTATTGGTAAATCAGACATGGCTCCACTGAGCCTAAGCCTATGAGGGATTTCAGAGTGTGGGCACTTCAAGATACGCAGCAGTATAAAGGCACATTCCTAGAGCCAGTAAATCGTATTTCCCTTGCTAGGGGACGCAACAAATCGCCTTGGAGGTCACACCTTCTGGGGGACGCTTATAGTCTATGCACGGTTCAGTTCTCTCTGCGCTGAGGGGCATATGTGCATTCCCTCTAATGTATGGATTTGCGGATACTACTTAGTTACTTTAGAGTTGATAAAAATCCCACTGAAAAATTCAAAAGGCAATTTGTCGAGCTTTCGTCTGCTTTCGATAAATTCTCTTCAGGCCTGTATCTGCCGATTGAGGTAATGAATTAAAGGATATGGGCAAGTAGATAATTATACTGTAGCTCGGATTTGTGGGGGGGAGAGGGAGATTGAAACACCACAATTCAAGTCGGCGTCAAGGAGAAGGCAGGTCCCGGCGAAGGTAATTACATGCGGGTGGCTGGCTTGGTGGCTTTGAACCATAGCAACTGTGGGGCTTGTATGAATTTCTTCTGTGTGCATAGGACGGGTCCGTGTAGCCTGATTGCAGCCGCCTCTGCCGTAGCCAACAGGCGCTGTCCAAGTAGTTTTGAATGACTTGACTGGACATTGTAAATCACTATGAAGGCCTCTCTGGCGTTTACACGGTGGTCTCTGTCTACCGTGTGCGCGAGGGTCGAGCTGTTGATGTTCTCCATTTGATCCTTTCCCAACCATACTGGAAGATGTTCTTTTATTCTTCTGGATTGACGCCGGCTCGTGCGATCAATATATTCTGCCCCAGAGGAGCAAGTGAATGAGTAAATACACGTAGAGGTGGTCTGAACTGGTAGTTTGTCCTTGCCATCTCCGTATACGACGGGACTGGTGGAGAACAGTACACGGGTGTCAGCCGCTGGAAGGATCTGTGATACAGCCTGAGTAAGGCGTCTTCTTAAAAGTTCACTTGGTGCATCTCCTTGAAATGGGACCCTGATAAAGAGCATTTTCATTCCTGCCTTCGGTATCAGGGAGCTTTTGTGGTCTTTCGACCATGATCTTAAAAATGAATCGATCAGGATACCCGTTCTGACTTGACATAATTGAACTAGGAGAGGCACCAATAAAGACGGCAGATACGAGAGGCGGTTATTTTCGACATGCCAGCCATCGTCAGCCGGCCATACCTCCCTACAGGTCTGTCGCTGACGCTGATGGCCAGTCGGTATCGTATAATTAGTGTTCATCGATCACGTTGCAGGTCAGACTCGTCGACTTACACGTTAGGGCTCGAACTAAACAGACGAAAGGTGGTACAGGGTTGTAATGCCAACAAAGACAAGGGGTCTGCGACGTTCTTTCAGGCTTGTTACTGATCGTCCGCCAGCCACGCGCAACCCCAGACTTTGACTGCCTGAATTTCGACCCGGGTACTCTGGTCAGAGGGCGTTGTTAAGTCCAGCGTTCTGGACCACGGGCCCGTTGCCCTGATAGTTGCGAACAAGTAATACTCTGATGCATCATCATTTCAGTGGCTCCCAGTGAGACATTGTGACCAATCGGACGCCACAGCATACTATACTCCCCGGCTGCTTATTACGACGGGTTGAAGACCATCTAGGGCTACCATCTCAGGGGCTTTTACTAAACGCATGCTGTGACGATTAAATGAATTATTCTGGTTCACTCGCAGTCACTGCTCATCACAGCGGTTAAACTACCGTCCAAGGTTTGTGGTCAGATTTTGGAAGATTCGGGCGATAGAGGACGAATCGTACACTATAACATTGGACTTCTAAGTCCTACCCGCAGAATACTCGCCTCACAACTGTCCCCAGCACGCGAAGGATAGAAAACGGCGGGACCTGTAGGCTGCCTATTAAACTATTTAAACAAAGTTAGTAGTAGACACTCAATAATATATTACGGAAGGTGCATATAAACCTATGTAACTAACCTCCCAATGTGTGCCTACATTTGTTATTGACGTTAAAGTGCCGTTTTGACAAACCTAACCCCTTGCCTGATGGCGGACTACTGGCGAATGGCGGGATAAAAGTGTCAAGACGATATAAGGGACTACTTACAATAGACATACTAACTCATGAAATATTAACCGAAATTACAATTAGGTTTATAATTCTAAAAGATCGCTTGGGTAGTTTTGTATTATTCATTATCATGACATAATAGATTAAAATATTCCAGTCATGCCAAAATACTGGTTTTTGAACGAGCTGCTTATCGACCGCCTGCACAAGATGCATTCCTCAAAAATGACTACTTAAGAAGCATGGAGTTTTCCGCTGCTTTTTGATACTACCATAAATTCAAGTACATTTTGCAGAAAACATGCTCAAAGATAGTTATAAGTTCATCCGTTTGGTAGCAAATTCCGTCTTCTTTAGATTTCATGCTTAAAGAAGAAGTAGCATTCAGTTTTTTTTTTTAAATTTTCAAGCCGTTACACTTGCTTTCATGGTTTACATACTACAATCTATACACTTCCCAATGTGGAGAAAATTCCATATTTCTGTACTTTATTAAGAAGAGGTCATATAGAACTCATAAAATTGTGTGATGGATGTCAACCATGTCGCCCACTTTATAAGCAGAATTAAAAGTATGCCGATGCGATGATGCAAGATTCCACAGTTCGCGTTCTTGAAAAATCTCATAAGTGAAAACTTAAACTGAAGGTTACTATTTCTTCAAGCATACACTTTGAAGAAGACGTAAGTTGCCACAAAATAAGTGAAAAAAGAGTATTTTTGTGCATGTTTTCTATAAAATATACTCGAATGTTAAAGGGCATCGGAGATCAACGGGAAAAGTCATGCTACTTAAATAGTCATTTTTCCCAACATGTAGTTTACGCAGGCGTCGATAAGAAGCCTCTTCTAAGACTGTATCCTGAAGTGCTAGAAATGGCTTTGCGTTATGTGACATGGTAATTAATATGACAGCCCTACTTAAGGAATCTTTGAATTAAATCGCATTTCATAAATTCGGTTAATATTTCGTGAGATAGCACATCTACTGTATTTTTATAAGTAGAGGTTATTGTGGTCTCTATATCAGGTTTCCTCTATCTGTTTTCTCCCTTCGTGCGGACATAGAATTCAGTCGACAGGAAAACCAAGGGCTTACGATATACGGCCATGACGAAAGAAAGCGATCTCCTGGCTTTCCCTATCGGTCCTGAGCCCAGTGTTGTCCTCGAGAGAGATGGATCCCCGACGACCACGGCAGATGATCAGAACGAACGAGAGACACAGAAGTCCGGGGAGGTCGGAGTTAGATTGGCGGTTACGCCGCCATCCAGTGCTGTTCCCATAATCCGATACTCGTCAGGTGGTAAGCTTATGTCCAGAAAAGTCTTCTTCTTCTATTCTTTTTAGTTGAACATCTATCACCTCTACCTCTCCTCTGATCTACCGAATAATTTAAATTTTTTGAGTCGTGAACGGGTCTCATTCCGCGAAGTGTTTTATCACAGTATCAAGATCTATAGGTATCAAATTTCACCCCTAAATCGGGTCATGAGACAGATGCGATGGACCAACAGAGGGGCTAGGTCAGGGTCCGGCAGGCGCTGGAAGGTTGCCAACTAACGGGTTACTCGATTCCTCGCCGAACTGAGAGTCAGGTTCAGTCCCTTCTTCGAGGCGTGGCCTCTTTGCCAAATGTACAAACGTGATACCCGGGCTTCCATTGTCTCGGTAAGAGGCTGGTGCATTATGCGGGTATCAGGTCTTCTGTGGCACGCATAGACGGGCCGGTTAGTTCTGTTAGCCACTGTGCCCGCACCCGCCTCCGGTCGTCTTGAAATTGTTTTGCCATCGAAGCATGGTGTGTAAGTGAGAAGAAGGTGAGGTAGATGCTACGCAAGCCTGCCTCACCATAATCTAAATAGCCTTGGGACACGTTTGTTACATCGCGTAGTGTTTAAAGGTTGCGAATTCCAACTCGGTTGTTAAGGCGATGGAGTTGAATAAAGAGCCCTTGCTAAACAAGGTTATGCGCATGGGGCTGAATAATAGAAATTATTTAAAAGCGAGGCGAGTATTATGGGTTTATAAATGCAACAAAAACGATCGGCAGTCTGGAATAATGGCTGTGGTGAAGACGTTGTCAGGAAGCGTGGATCCTGCACAAAACCGTGTTGGTACTCAGAGTCCTCTACGCGCGACCGATTTTGGGCTTTCGCTTGCATCTGTCCGCCGGGGTGATGTGGACTTAAACAAAGAAAAAATCATGCGGTAGTCAGTGAGAGTCTGCTGGTTAGTTGATTGGATGATGACGATAATTTTGTTCACATTTGATTGGTTATGCTAGAGGCTGCATTTCCGCGTGGTCCAGCCGCAGGCATATGATTCCTAGCGCGACGTATTTGCTTGACGTCGGAATTCTCCATGTGGTTGAGGCGCTAAAAACCATCGGTGCTGGAAGAGCAGGTGAGAAAGTGCAGTGTTTTTTCTCGCGAAGGGATGGCCGGAACCGAAGAAATTATAGGTGGGAACGCAAAGATGGTGAACCGCATTTGGTCATTCTGGCAAGGAGGAAGTGGGCTGCAGATGAAACGCGTTGTGATGTTAAAACCTGTTAGCGAGCTATCGAAAACGTGTATTTTGACTAGGACCTTTCACTGAACTTGAAAGATTGTGTGGCTCTCGAGACTTATAGTGTTTCAAACCTATGTCTTTGTCAAAAATAGTCATCAAGAAGACTTGAACCACTATAAACAGTGAAAGGTATGAGTGTGAGCACCCGCCATTGCGTCAAAAGTATTAGTCAGCGATTGGGATCAGATGCCAAACCCTCTAATTTTATGGAGATGTAAAACCCTTCACTATACCGATAGAACAATTGCTCAGCAAAAGCCCATACACGTGTTTCGGCGACTATGAGCTGTCGTATGATGCGGCTGTGGGGTAATCGGCTCATCAGTGGGTTCCCCATCGTATCTCATGTGGTTTCCGGTGTTCACTGTAGTTTTTAGCATTAAGCTTTTTGATTCCTCTAAAAGTAATGCTTGAACTTGAGGTAAATGCTTCGGGACAAGCCTTTGAATTATGTCGTGTCATCAAATGATTGTATGTTACTGACTGCCTGTTAGCAGCTTCAGAATATTGTCCGGCCATTCTGCTAAGACCGGCGGACTTTAGTCCAAATATTCCCCTAAACCTTTGGACCGAGCCTGAAATGTTTTTTCCAAAGCATTTGCCCCAAGTCCCACGAAAACCAAAAAAGGTTAACATTGTCAGGCTGTACAAGAGAATGCCTACTTGTAAAATGCAGGTTGTTGAGTATTGCACATTTCTACCCTAAACTAGAAGTTTGCGAAATTAAGTGTTCATGTGAAAGTGTGAACCACGGTTAACTAGTCAAATCCTAATTACAGTTTTGTGAATATTTTAGCCACTTCTATACCCTGTAATTCTACGTCACAAGCTGTTTCCATGGCAACGATTATTTATTATTATCAGACTTCAAAAGGCCTTTGGTTTTCGTCAACACAGAATCTGGTTTTTTATTTCTGGCAAAAAATACTTGAGTGGAACAAACGTTTGAGAAAACAAGTGAACTAGTTCGCAGCAGTGGCAATCCATGAACTTGCAGGTGACCATGGACTAAGAATTACTTTCATTATCAAGGAAATCGTCACCTCCATGCGACATTATTTTGCACTCAGAGCACTCTGCTGAGAACACCTGGCTGATTGCTTTTGGTAGTTTTCTCACGTTCAGCAATGTGTGATCCTTGAAGAAGGAGAGACAATCGCTGGGACAAGATCTTTATTAGCCTGACGTTTCGGATTACTGCTCGAACCAATCATCAGAGACAAAGGCAGATACGGATGGTATTTACTTTTGTCTCTGATGATCGGTACGAGCAGGAATCCTAACCGTCAGGCTAATAAAGCTTTTGTCCAAGCGATTGTCTCTCCTTCTTCAAGAATGCTTCCTGGGACTCGTCTCTTCGCTTCTATTGGCAATGTGTGATCGATTTTCTCGTGTACCAGCTCGATGTTAGCGTTCTCGCAAATTGGAAGTCGAGAGGACAGGTCTTATGGTGTGTGAGTGAATAACTTCTTGATATAGAACGCAGATATGCAGAGCAATGACTAGCCAGGACGAGCATTCGCCTCCAGTTTTGTGATTTCTTTCCAGTATCGAACTTAAGCAGGTTATCACACAATGGTACGTAGTCAGTAATATAGAAGGCTTGCCGACAGGGACTATAGAAACTGAAATCCCCACTTCTGACTCGCTTAGCGGACCTAGGTTGAAATCTCTAGTAATGGCAGTCAACAGTTGGTTGTTGCTAGGTGACGGCGACTAATAAGTCAGAAATGACCATGCCAGTCTCCCCTCATCTTTGTTAGTATTCGTTGTGGTGAAGCAATTATCCTTTTCATGTTTCGGTTTCCAACTTTTTGATATTCTTTCGCTATTTGTGACAAGTAGGAATTTCAAAGATGCAACACCTACTTTCTCTCAAACAAACTGAATTGAACGTAACCTTTTTGCAAAATCTAGCTCTGACAGCCCGCATGATTGGTCGATCCTAGAGCTCGCTGGCCATGGCGATCTTGGGATACTTTAGGCGCGCGTGCAGGCAAAGTTTTGCTGGGTCTTGTGGCAGTGGCTGCCGAGAATTTTAGATTTGCGTGGGAACATACTGCCTCATGTTTGAGAGCTCTGAGTCTGCATTGAAACGCAGACCTGCTCAGAAAAACTACATAGTTAAAGTTACCAAAATGTTTATAGATCGCGAAATCGAGTAGTTTGATTTTGTTGTCCTTTGACAGGTTTAACCAACTTAACAATTTTGCTCCGTTTAAAAAGGAGGGCTTAGGATTTAATCCTAGGCTATCGATAGATTTCGCGCGATGGCAATGGGTTCTTTAATGTCAAATTTAAAACTTTTCGATCATAAACTTCTCCGATAAGTCATCCCTGGTGTTCATTCCCCATTATCATACACTTTTAGATCTTTCCCACGCGGAGGAGGTAAAAGTGACCGATATGGAAGCTGTCCCGGTAGAAAACGAGCATGAGGGCTCCGTTAAATCTGATCACATGTCAGATGATCCACCACCTGAACCTGTAGATGTAGAAGACCCGTGATGCAAGTGCAAGTGCCTGTATTTTGGATTACAATGAAGAAACGTGGGTGGAGCCAGATGTTTTTTTATAAATTTCCCCTGTGACCAATTTATTTTAAATTTCAACTGTTTATGTTGTTAAAAATGTGGAAATTTTACCACAGCACGAACAGTCGGCGTATACAATAACAGTTATTCTGAACTGCTTCACCTTGTACAAACCCGCGTAGCTCTTAAATCAACTGAGTTGCATAGCACCTGACGGACGATAGTCAAGTTTACGAAGTCCTTCGGCAGAAAAGATGGCGTTAAAATGGAAAATATTAACCGTGTATCCACACTGACTTTAATCAGCAAGCTTCTACTCAGAGTCCATGCAAATAACATTTGTTTTTGATAGACTGTGACCTGACTCACCGGTGGCTCCTGAAACACCCTTACCCAGAGGTGGTGCGGTAGGAATTCGCCATAACTACTTTGGAGTAGCCAGCTACTTTGACCCTAGTTTTATACAAGAGAATAATTCGTAGAATCACCCGATTCTACCGGAAAGGTACGATTTCGTGTTTGTGCGCGGAGTTGCGCATTAAGGGTAGTTAATTTGGAGAAGGAATGGGAGGTGCCGCATGTTTATTTCATGATTAAATAAAATTGATGGCCATTTGGGACAGAAAGTAGTCTCGGAAAGCTTTAAGTTTAATTGGCGTCCTTATCAGCCAACGCGCCACTTTGCCGAATTTCCCCAGCACCTAGGCTTGAGCGGGTTAATTTGTTTGACATGGGATCGCGGTCAACTTCTACTTAGAATGGTTAAGAGGTTGCTTTGAGCAAATGAACTCTTCGAACTTCAAGAATTCGGTATAGTTAGATATGTGTCATGCGATAGGAGGTCCTAAATATTAGATAATAAGCGTAAGACCAGGAATTGTTATGTATCCTCTGTACTATTTTGCTGTCTTGTTCTCTTAGAGGCGGATTTTTTTTACAAACTTTAATTTATCTGCTTTATTATGTGCGTTCTTCAATACATGCAATTTTATTACGGTTTCGAATTACCACCCTATTTTATTTCCTTCTGTAATTCTAGGTTGATGTCATTTGGTTGGCACAAAGACTCACTAACGATCTTTCGCGTACCCCTTTCATCAGCACCGATCAATGGAAATTTTCATCTGAAACTATTCTAATCCGTGTGTTCTCGGCATCCCGAACAAGCCGCTTACACTTCAATCACTCTCTGCCTATGTCTTACCAAATTGAATTTCTGCATAACACACCAGTGTTTTAACGGTATCCTTGGGTTGTCACATGTTGCGTGCGCTTATTTCAATGTAGATAGCTGCCTCCTTATACTTACTCCACATAGGCAACCCACTCATTCCGCCAGAGGGTCTTAGCTGGTGCGTTGCCATTCGCAGGTATCCGTGATAGGTGTTGCAGTGGCGGGAGGCTGTTAAAACAGATGGGTTAGTCGTCCAACCAGGCTGGTTGAAACCATGATGATACTAGAAAGAAGAAAATCAATCAGAATACGACAGAGTAGCAAGACACATCACTTACTACTCTGTTGGGTTCTGTTTTACGGAGCATAACTTGATCGCGAGTAGCACATTAAACGGGTGGGACAGTTGGTGTACGTGAGCCTAGCACTCAAGAGCTCATAATACTTCCACATCTGTCACCAAGGCCGTATTAGAGATCACATGCTCACAACTTCTCAGAGGTCCGAGGTCCAAGGCCCAAACCTCCGTTTCGCTTGTTTGCCTGTTTGATTATGAAGACGTGTCTAGCGAATCTGTCCAGTTCATTCTGAACATTGAGCTATTCCAAAGGCTTTACGCTATTGAGCCCATATTTTTCTCAGCCTCTTCAATCCTTACACGCATACGACAACTAAAACAGAAATTTTCGTAGTAACCCGGTAAACTTACCAAACTGACACTAAACGGCTCTCATGGGACATTTATTAATCCACCTTTATATCACCCTAACGAGTAAACGCGCGAGCAGGCTCAGAGTAGACCATGCGTCGGCGGTCTGGGTATTACTGAATTTCTGTATAACATACGCAGCTTCCACTGATGTCTTCTCCTTTCTCGTATCTGAAGGACTACAGGCGTAACACTTAGCGACCACATTAATGTCGAATAATTTTGCGTTTTTTTTCTAGGCATAATGTCGCAACCACCTCGGATGTTTTCATTTCATGATCCAACAAATAAAATTTTTTATTGTCATTCACTGCGTCATTAAAATGAAGATGTTTGGAACCTGACGTGTTCTGCAGGGCGGGCTGTAAGCAATCATGTTGTGAAAGGCGATCCTTGTGAAGGCCAATGTGACCAAACTTTTCTTTAAACATAAAATAAGGTCGGACTTCACAATGCTACTTGATAGCGAGCTCCACGGTCGGACTGCCCGTTGCCAGAAAATGTAGATTCTGCGTTTTTTGGGTGCGCCAGCCATTGATTTGGTGAGGACAACCACGTAGCTGATTTACGCATGTTAAAAAAAATATGTCCTACAGTCACAACGAAAACCATGCTATGAAGAAACAAGTTATCGGGCAGAAATGAAATACCTCTACAAATTATTCTCGCAAAGTGGGTACCCACATGACTTCATGCGTCAAAGCATGAGGCACCAGTAATTCATGGGAAAAAGGCGTTGACAATGCTACAACCGCTCGGGCAGCAAATCCAATCGCCTGGCAAACTCTCCCATATGTGAAAATGTGTCTGAATTAATCGAAAGGCGAGTAAAAAACACCTGATACACGTGGCCCACCGGCCGGCAACTACCTTTAGCACACAGCTTGTACACCCTAAGGGCAGGGTTGGCTACCTTGAAATAAAAAGTGTTGTCTACAAAATCCCACGTCCCACTTGTGATGCCATCTATTGTGGCCAAACTGGGAAATCTGTCTCAACCCGTATACATGAACATCGCTTATTGGTAAAGAGACGCGACCATCTATTGCAGGTGGCCATGCACACACTGGACACAAATTCGTATAGGAGTACACTCGCATCATTGGTGCCTGCCAGATAAGGAAAGGCCGCGAATTCCTGGAGGCAATGCCCTCAGATGTGGCATACATCAGTCGGCATATCGATCTGGATACCACATAAAGAATCGTTAAAGACAAATTCAAAGCGCCTCAACAAATCTCGAGGAGATGACAAATTGCAATCAACATGCATTGGCTCGGACTATAAATAATCATAGAATCCTTTGTCAGACTCAGTCTAGATGTTGATTGTTTCTGCACTCCCATAGTCTGAAGAGGAGCTAGGGAACCAGTCTCGAAAAGTTACGCCGGGCTCGTGACCCCGGTGAGTAGAGGCGTTGACTTCTAAACCAACAGGTCGCGAGTTCGAGGCTCGGGTGTTCCACACTTCGGGCTTGGGTATGGCTGGCTGACGGCGACTAATAAGCCAGAAATGGCCATTCCAGTCTCCCTTGTCTTTGTCGGTAATATCATTCTGCCTATATATCATGCGCCGCTGCGCGGCTGCTGGTTGGGCTCGAGCGAGAGCCCTTAAGGCACAACGGAACGAGTGAGTTCCCTATGAACGATCGGTGAGCGCCCCCTAACATAAAATTTACTGTTTCCCAAAGAATTCCATCCCTCTTATCTGTAATATCGATAATAACTAGAACGCGGCTGTGCTATACCGTTGTGACGATCAGATTTTGCTCGGTGCTTAAACCCCACGACGCTCATTAATTTTTTCTTCGAACAGACGCGGATGGTTGTGCAGTTACTCCATTCCCGGCATCTTTGTCTAGCGCTCCTTGAGGCACGCCCAAATGTGGCAGTTTATTAATCTGACACTACGAGATTGTATGGCATCTGTAATTGTGTTGGAGCCATCCTTGACTGTATGGCTTTGCGAGACGTACGACAAGTCGCAATCATACCAACTGGCACGTAAAATCTAAGTCAGGCGTAGACAAGTACTCACGCAGGACACTTGCCCGCCCACAAATGCAGGGCTGGACGCATCCCCGGCCTCTGGTTACAAATTTGCTCCAACTACATATTATTTATCATCCTGGATAAGAATATCTCAAACTACTAAACAAGGAAACGGTACATGCCCAGAGGTCAAATCTAAGGAGGAAGCATGCTGGACAGCGGTCAGACTCGGCCAACGCCGGCAGGTTTTTTCATTCAATCACAAGAAACGGGCAGGCGTCCGTCTACCGGAATAACTCAGGCCAAATTAAGGTTTCTGTATATTAATGATCAAGGCACTAGTTTCAGGACGAAGCCCCGATATCATTGCTATAACGGAAACATGAATAAAAGCCAAAATCACTGATATCGTGAATTCGATAAAGGGTTGTCGGCTCTTTCGCAGAGACCGTCAAAATCGGCAAGGCGGTGGTGAGGTCGTATGTGTAAGGGCGGAAATTTTGGTAGTCTAATGAGACCACACAATTTTTCTCTTGAATACAAATCTGTCTGGGTAAAGAAAAAGAAAAGTTACCCACTAAACCTAGAATTCATTACGGTTAACGCGCCACCATGCCTTCCGAGGGCAGCTGACGGGTCGTTCCTCTATTTAGACAACCAAGTAACTAGCCACCAAGAGGTTCTTACAGCTTTAGCTTTCAACGCGACTGCAGCAGAGTGAGAAAATATGGTAGTAAACGGTGCTCCAGTCATGAACTAACGGGTTTCACATTCTACCTCCCACCGGCACAACACGCAAAAAACACCAACTGTTTTAGAGGCAACAAGAGAGCTAGTTGCCTGGACCAAGTTTTTTCGAAAGACTTCTCCTGCGTTGACGAAATGGATCTCAGTGCACCCCCTGGTAATAGTGGCCGTACTTAACTACTATGGAATGACTCGCTCTTCTATTCATGCTGACAGTAACACCAGGAACAGTCGTCATCCGCACTCTCTCTGCGTGGCTACATACCTTGCCTAGGCAAAGCCTCAGCATCGAATACAGAAAGGGAAGGTTGCTGCGCTTGTTGATTGTTGTTGTGGCGAAGTAGTCAGCCACG